ATAAAAGAGATTAGCCAAAAATTTTTTTAAACTAATATAAATCATAAGATTAATACAAACTAAATATAAAAGGAAAATATATATAATAAATAATAAAAAAAACTAAAAGGGAGGGGGTTTAATAAATAATAAAAAAAAACTAAAAGAGAGGGGGGTTTGAGAAAGAGATTCGGGTATGGAATCCTTTGGGCCACAAGGCCCATCATCCAAAGTAGCATCCCAACAAAAAGCTGAATGTGAGAAAAAATGGTGGGCTTCTAAAAAGGCCCAAAACCACCCTTGCGAACCGCTCATCATCAACATACGTTGGAGGATGGTAAAAGCAGCATCCCACAGAAAGTAAAAAGTCACAATATTGAAGCAAGTGGAACACAGAATCTCCAAAGCAAAGACGCAAATGTCGCAGAGCAAAATGACACAAACGAAGGGAAAAAAGTCATCTCCTACCTCTGCTCAAAAGCTTTCTCGCTAACTTCTCCGTTTCCGACCAACAAGAACGCAATATAAATAGGTTCGTATCTTCGTTTCCTTTGGTTTGATTCACGATTTAAGGGGTTCGATTTCAATCTCTCTCCTCATCTCTCATTCTCTCTGTTTTGGATCTGGCTTAGTTTCCAAGTTTCAATTTTATGGATTGTTGGAGGTTTTGAGGTGTGCTGAAGTCGAATGGAAGTTTGAAATAGGAGTGATTCAGAGGGTTTTGTGGTTCGTGTTTGTGAAGTTGTGGAAATGTTTGAAGAAGGAAGAAGGTTTTTTTTTCTTGTGTTGTCGTATGTTTCTGTTTGCAGGATTTGGTTGTTAGTTTGGGATGATTTCCGACTATTTTAAGGTTTGAGAATGAAGACAAAAATGATTTTGGGGAAGAGATTTTGAAATGAGGGTGAGGGAAGAATGAGAGCGGAATATCCCTTTTGTTTTTTTGCAGAAAAACTTCTCTGTCCAAGAGTGAGGAAGCCAATCGTTTTTAAGGAATGAAATGGGGGTATTTGGGGATCGTTGCTGCCTTTGGGAAAATGACGAATGAGATTTGTTATAGTTGTCCTTTTTCGTGATGTCATGGGGTGAGGATTTTTTTTGTCCATTCCCGTAAGTCCGTTCTGCAGATCATACCAATTGGCAGTGTGGAATGGTGAGGTCGTGTTAGTAACAGGCTGGGCTATTGTATGTGAAGGCTTGAAAGCTTGCAGCATGATGGTTGGGAAGGTTTTGAAAATTTGGCCTGGCTCACGTGTTTCTTGCATGCGTGAATCTTGATTTGGCATGATGCAACAATGGCTTGGTTCGTATGCCTTCATGAGCTAATGTAGCTTGTTGTTTAGCACATGGACTTGATTTTACATTGTTGTGCTTGTTATTTCCATGGGCCTTGTTTCCCTTTTTATTTCTAACTCATGTAAGGGACTTATGGACTTATGATCCTTTTTTTTAATTGATTTTTTTTTGTATTCCGTGGGTTTTCTTTATGGTAATTGCACCTATTTTTTTTGTTTTGAATTTTAGTTTGTAACAAACACTAGTAACTTGGTGCTCTGGAAATTCGAGTGAACTTAAAATGAATATATGATAGATTTTGGATAGAAAAATAATGATGGATAATGGATTATGTAAATGGTCATGGATTTAAAATGGGTTAAGTGGATATTGAAAAGTGGTTTGTATAAATGATTAATAAAATTAATAAAAATGTGGATAACAAAAAATATTTTGAAATGAACTGGATGAAATGCCCTTAAGAAACCATGGGTCAATCTCTACCCCCAAAAGTCTTGAATCACAAATCAATCCTAATGACATTCACTTGCGGATCTTGATCAAAGTGAACCAGTCATTGAATCCTCAGGCATGAAGACCCTGCACACCTTGATAACTTGACTCACACGCAGATAGACTATCTTAACACAAACTCTAATTGAAGCTTCACACATAAACCATTTGAATTATGCACTTCTTAGCCTTGAATATGAAACACACTTGCCCGACCAAAGCTAGGTCACAACCAGAGGAACTTCAACTCACACTGCGATTCCTCCCGACCTGATAAACTCCAACTTAATTCAATTCAAGTCAACTTCATGATGGGAACAAACATTTTTTTTTGGGATTTTTGAATAAATATTAGTGGACAGATGTACAGATGAAGGTAATATATAAGTAGGACAAATTTGGGATATAACACCTCACAGCCGGGCTTCATGATATAACATATGAGGGGCTTAAAATCTCTAGAGGGAAAAAGCCTCACCTGAGGGACTCGCTATCTCCTTGGGCGAGATAACTTCAAAAGTAATGCCTAAATGCGAGCGACCTATATCAAGCCCTGAAAACTTAGTGTCAAGTATTGCTAGAGGGCTCGATGAAGGTCTCAGTTAAAATATTAACGACCTACTTAAGGGACTCGACGTCCCCCTAGCTAGGCTACATGATATAACATCCGAGAGAATTATAATTCCAAGAGGGAAAAAACTTTCTTCTGAAGGACTCAGTACCTCCTCGGGCAATAGCGTTGAAATCATGCCTAAATGGGCGTGGCCTATATCAAGCCCTAGAGCCTTGGTGTCAAGTCTTGTTAGAGGGTTCGATAGAGATCCCGCCTGAAAGATTGATGACCTGTCCGAGGGACTCAGCGTCTTCCCTGTCGGGCTACATGATATAAAATTCGAGGGACTTAGAATTCCCACAACAGGAAAAGCTTTTGTCTGAGGGACTCAGTATCTCCTCGGGCGAGATAACTTTCGAAACCATGCATAAACGGGCACGACCTATGTCAAGCCTCAAAGACTTGGTGTTAAGTCTTGCTAGAGAGCTTGATAAAGGTCTCGCCTAAAAAGATTGACAACCCACCTAAGGGACTTAACGTCTCCCCTACTGGGCTGCCTGATATATCGTTTGAAGGGCTCAACGCCTCAAAAGCGAAGTCATATGACCGTAGGTCAGTAAAACTCTAAATTCCTAAAGGTAAACAAAAGCCTCATAAGAAAAAATGTCAGTCCTCAAAATACTCCCATTAACTGATGAGGGAAAACACTTTTCTCTCTACCGAATGACTCGTGTTTGAGGAACTGTGTAGTGTTATATTTGCAATTAACCTTACCTAAGGCAACAACTTGAGACCACCATAAGAAAGGGGCGACGACATAAGGTCGCCTGAAGGGAGATACTGCCTCACCCCTACGCTTTTCTCGCCCCTAGGAAGAAGAAATGTGGGATAAAACATGTCTTGGATAATGGGAAAGTCAAGATAGTTATTGACCCACGTATCCCTTGGAAATATGAATTCAACAAATCACCTTTGGACTGTGTGGGTGGCGACCTTTTTCCAAGAAAGCCCTACGAATCAATAATCCCTATAAATACCCCATCCGTCAAGGGGATAAGGAAGACTCAAGTGATACACACTTACTACGACCCCAACGTTACTCATAAAACACTCCATTTTGAGTAACCCTAACAACATCACTCTAACCACCTACCTGCAACCTATCAACACCGACCGCCAACAGAGCCTCTCACCTCACATGAGTTTATACCTTAAACAACCTCAAAAACCACCGTGCAAGGCTACTCGGCAACATGAGCTAACCCTCACCCCATTCATGTAATATACCTATTAAGGTCTCTGAGTCTCCATGCCCTTACAGAAGGAAGACACACTTGTACTTTTTTTGGACAATATAATCTTACTTTATTTAAAAATTAATATGGATTTGTATTTTTGTTATCTCTAATTATTTTGTATTTAAAGATAATAATATCCGATTTTAATGAGTCGAGTATATTATTAACTTGCAATTTTCTTTTCTTTGTTAATTAAACCAATGAATATCCAACTTTAACTTAATAATTTAAGAATCAATAACAAGCAATGCAAAAGCTGGTGCGGAAGCATGGTTAATTATTAATAATTATATATAGTTGAAGAAAAAATAGCTGAAAATAATATACAAAGATATAAATAAAAGAGAAAGGTTGTAATTGAGATTTTAAATGATATAATATAGGGAAATTTGAAACTTTTGGAAAGAGAGGGATACATTTTTTAAATTTGTAGACAAAAAGGATGATGTGGCAATTGGTTGATTGTGACAAACAAATGAAGGAGTGTTTTTTGCTTTTTTTAAAATTGAAGTATTTGCTATTTACTTTTTTAACCTTTAGTAAGTACATTTTTTTTACCACAAAAGAACATTTTTAGAAGATCATATGCATCCACTTTTCTTAAATGTAAATTAAACAAGATTAAAATTCTAAAAACAAAATAAAGTAAAAGAATCAATAAATTGAATTTTAAAAATAAAAATAAAATAAAAATAGAAGAATCAAATTTGCAATTAAACAAATTCTTTTTAGTAACGTATGCAATTTGTTAGCGTGGATAAGAGAGAAGTTTGTTTTCAAAATTTTTCAATTATTGATATATTTTTTGGTGATGCATAGAAGAAAAAAGTGCGAACAAAATGGTCTAGTACAAAAAAGTCAGCGCGTGAAACTTCGCATAGATTTGGTTTCCGAGAGCGTTTAGTTTCATTGTTCGAAAATCGTAACACTCTCTCTCTCTCTCTCTCTTCTCTCTCTCTCTCTCTCTCTCTCTCTCTCTCTCTCTCTCTCTCTCTCTCTCTCTCTCTCTCTCTCTCTCTCTCTCTCTCTCTCTCTCTCTCTCTCTCTCTCTCTCTCTCTCTCTCTCTCTCTCTCTCTCTCTCTCTCTCTCTCTCTCTCTCTCTCTCTCTCTCTCTCTCTCTCTCTCTCTCTCTCTCTCTCTCTCTCTCTCTCTCTCTCTCTCTCTCTCTCTCTCTCTCTCTCTCTCTCTCTCTCTCTCTCTCTCTCTCTCTCTCTCTCTCTCCTCTACTTCACGTCACGACACACACGCAAGCACAGCCAGTAACAAAACCCTCTTTCAATTCCTCTCCTCCACTTCTTCCCCTCTTCACTCCCTTCTTCTCTTTCAAGCGTTTCCTTTCATGAAACTGCACGCGCATCTTTAAACGACGTCGTTTTCTTGAGCCATGGCTCCGAAACCTCACCTTCAGCTCAAGGAGCTGGGATCCAAACTCGACATTCTTCCTTCTTCAAAGGAGCCTCTCGTCGAACTCTTGAAGGTGCGCACTTTTTTTTTGGTGAATTGAATTTCGCGTTGCTTTGTTTCCCAATTAGTTTCATAATTGCGAGCTTTAAATATGCTAGATTTCGAATTTTTGTTTTCGGGTTAGTTATTAGTATTTCGTCCGTTTTTTTTCCAGCTTACCTAATGCATACGTTTTACTTTAGCTGATTTGTCACTTGTGAAATTGAATTGAGCTTTAATTGTAGATTGGTTTCAATTTTGTGCTAAATAGTTTGTGATTGAGGGTTTGGGTTGTGTTTGTGGTTTTGTTTTGCCATTTAGGAGTTGAATTGTCAGATTTAGTTTGTTTGATGTGAGAGTTAGGTTAATTTGAAGCAGGTTTGTGGAGTATTTTTTCAGTGATGTTTATTTTTTAGTTAATTGGCTTGAAAGGTGCTACAGTTTAGGGTTTGTGTTTTGTGCGAAGTTGGTATTGTTCGGTGTTGTAATTAAGTTCTCATAAGCTGTACATGTTTTGGGTGCTGACTGCTGAGAAAACTGAGTGGGAACTGTGTGAAGCTGTTGGGTGTTTCAAATTTGAATGAGAAATAATGGAGGGAAAGAAAGAAGTGGAACTAGAATTGAAAATGATGAAATTAATTTTTGCGAGTTCTGATCAGTTGTTTGTGTCTTATTGTGTAATTTTCAATGAGCAAATGAATTAGTTATGTTAATGAGCCCTGGAATTTGTTGATTGACATTATATTCTGCTAGTGAGAGTGCACATATCTGGATATCTCGATGAATGAATTTTGAAATGTAGTTGAGATTGAAAGTGCTTTTACTAGAGTTGGGTTATGATTTAATGAGATATATTATGAAAGATATTTTTATTCCAAAACAACGGACATAGAAAGATGTGGGATCACACCTGCGGAATCATTCGTAAGCTTATTTGTTGACATATATATTGTTGTACTTACCAAGCATATTGTTTGAGGTCTCAACACGATTTGATACTACACATGTGGTAATAATTCATCTTTTCATTTGCAAAGGATTTCCCATCTCTTGGTCCTTTGTGTTTATGTTTGTTTTCTTGGAATATTTGAAGTATCCTTTAAGGGATTGCATGGCTGGGTCGGCTCAATAAATGTGCTGTGTATCTGTAACCAGATGTGTTGTAACTAGTACTATAATAGTTTAGTTTCATTCATCGAGGTCCGTGTCAATTAAGCCATGAAAAAGATGAAGAGAGAAGATTGAGAAACATATTTGGCATTTATGCCTTCTTTTAAAGTTTAGATATTACTGGTTAAGTTAGTCATATGGACACACTGTCATTGTCTTGTGACAGATGTTTACCATGTAGCCATTAGATCTTTAAATTATGACTGAACTTTCAAATCGTAATAAAAGTACCAATTTTTTTAGCTGTTGAAAAATCTTTTTGCCGGAATTTACTCCTGGAGCTCGACAAGAATGAACGTCTCAGTAGCACATAGCATTTCTGTATTGGGTTTACCATTTTCTACTGCCAAATGAATGTGTCACCAAAAAACCAAAAATCAAGTTTACACTTTACAATTAAAACAGTTTATATGCATCTGATACTTGAGTCCAAATGGTATAATGGTATTATGGCGTATAATACTAGAAAGTATTTAATTTGTACTTATGTTACCCTTGTGCAGTATATAATTTTTCATTTCATGTGTTGAGTTGAATTTTGATTTGAAACTGCTAACATCCCCCACACCAACTGTTTCTTGATCTGCAGCAAGCGGCAGCATGCCTTACTGACATGGATCAATCACCTTCAGCTTCCGTATTAGAGTCAATGAAGCCCTTTTTAAATTCAATTGTTAAGCCAGAATTGCTAAAGCACCAAGATGGAGATGTAAAACTTCTAGTGGCTACATGTGTTTGTGAGATAACTCGGATCACTGCACCTGAAGCTCCTTACAGTGATGATGTTCTAAAGGTGCCTTCTATTTACCCTGGTTATCTGATGATACAAATTATGTCATGATTTTAACTTAAAATGTTGATTGTCCTTTTACTATCAGCCATACATAAAGAGAAATTTAGGTGGGAATCCTAATCTTTGTTAGATCAATTTGCAGGACATCTTTCAGTTGATTGTGAGCACTTTTAGTGGTCTGAGTGATATAAGTGGTCCCTCCTTTGGCCAGGAAGTCACTATGTTGGAGATTCTTGCAAAATATAGATCGTGTGTTGTAATGTTGGATCTTGAATGTGATGATCTGGTTAATGAGATGTTCAGTACTTTTTTTGCTGTTGCCAGGTTAGTTTATCATAAATCTTTTGCTTTGTTAACTGTATTTGTGTGCTCATGTTCAAGAGTTATATATTGTTTGCCTTAAATATTCTTCTTTTTGCTTCCGCAGTTGCAAATTTAATATTTTGTTGGTTTACTTGGTTCTTAAATTTGTGTTCCTTTTGCTGGTCATGATGAAACTATGTAAAAGTAAGACAAAGATAATTAGAACATTCAAAACCATACGTATTTGAATAATTGGAATGTGATATTTTTGGAATGGCGAGAGAAGTTCTGCGATTCTGAAACAGTAAAACTACGCTCTAGTTTCGTTGCTTTGTCCTGCCTATCTCGTCCTTCTGTTATTTAAAAACAATTCATTTGGGGTATTGTATGCGTGATGCTTGACATATTATTGTAACCAAAACCTTGTTATGTATAACACAAGTTTTTGTGTTGTTAGGTTGAGTGCTTCTTCATTCCTTGACTTAATTTGAGTGATTTGCTCATTATTTACCACTGATTTGTATTATCTAATTGAGTTATCAATCATTTGTATTGAGTAATATGTCTGTGCAATACCAGTTTATGGGGAATAATCCTTAATAGTACTTCTTGAATGACAAAATTTTCATGCTTCTTTTCTTGAATAAAGATCTTTGTAGTATTAATGAGTGATGCTTGTACATTTTGTTTCATGCACAGAGATGATCATCCAGAAAGTGTTCTATCATCCATGCAAAGTATTATGGCTGTTCTCTTAGAAGAGAGTGAGGATATTCATGAGAATCTTTTATCTATTCTACTGTCCACTCTAGGTCGTGAAAAAAGAGTAAGTACTTTTTCTTTTGCTTTTATCCTATAATTGGGAGATGGCTTATGCTCTTGGATGATGAATCTCATCTTTTATGTCATCTCTAATCATATATAAGAACATACATTTTGCTGATACATTTTAATTGCAGGATGTTACTGCAGCTGCGAGGAAGCTTTCCCAGAATGTCATACAGCAATGCATAGGAACACTTGAACCTAGCATTAAACAATTTTTTCTAAAATCGTTGTCAGGAGAAAGCAAGCCAGTGAACAGTCAAATTCAGTACCATGAAGTATTATATGATATCTGTTGCTGTGCTCCTCAGATCCTATGCGGAATTCTCCCTTATGTCACAGGGGAGCTACAGGTAGTTACTGATTCATTGGTTTTCCAAGTCCATTTAACATGATATCAGAGCCTATCCAAAATCTCCGGGCCACCTGCTATTAAGTAATTGCTATCGGGCCACTCGGGTCATGCTCGAGATGTCTAGTCTTGGACGTGAGTGGAGTGTGTAACGAGTCCCACATTGGATGAGATATGGCTTGAACATGTTCTTATAAGTGGGGACAATCCTCATATAAAAAATTCACTATGGTTTTTTAATCCTTAAACCTTCACCAAATTTAGTTTACAAGTTTAAGCAAAATCGTACTCTTGACTGTAATTCAAATTTGATGCATGGATTTTCATTTGGAATTTGGAAATTTACAGACTGACCAGTTGGAAACCCGTCTGAAAGCCGTGAACTTGGTTGGAAATATAATTTCTGTTCCTGGAATTTCCACTGCTGAGGCATTTCAGCCAATACTTTCAGAGTTTTTGAAGAGGTTGACTGATAAAGATTTTGGGGTTCGCATGTCTGTTCTTGACCATGTAAAGAGCTTTCTTCTGTCAAATCCTCAGAGGCCTGAAGCTCCTCAAACAATCTGTGAGTCCATTAATTATGTCAATCATATTCAGTCCCAGCTTCATTTATTGAATGTGGTACTATCTATATGTACTAATTAATTTCCGCAAAACTTTTTAGCCTCCCTTTGTGATCGGATTCTGGATTTTGATGAAAATTTTCGAAAACAAGTGGTGGCTGTTATCTGTGATGTAGCATGTTACACCATACACACGGTTCCTCTTGGAGCTGTGAATCTTGTTGCAGAACGGCTTCATGACAAATCTGTATGTATTCCTCTAATAGGCGATATTGTTTTTCTATGTTCTATCTTATTTCCGACAATTCTATTTTTCTATGTTCTCTCTTATTTCCGACGATTCTGTTTCAATCTCAAAGCCATGTTTTGCTTTACATTTCCAGCAACTTGTTAAAAAGTATACCATGGAGAGATTGGCTGAGATATACAGAGTTTTTTGTGAGAAAAGCTCTGATACTGTTATCCCCAGTGGATATGACTGGATTCCAGGGAAGATCCTTAGATGTTTCTACGACAAAGATTTCAGGTGAAATACTTCTGCTTCATCGTATGGTTATATATTTGCACCATAGTCATTATTTTTGCACATTGATTTTTATTTTGTTTTTTCATATAATATTTGAGCACAATGGAAGCATAAACCTTTTTGCTTTATGTCCATTAAATATGGACTGGCATTTTCTTAATAGTCGTAAATTGAACACATGTACAAGAAATTGCTTCTATAACCAACAAACAAGAGCAGCGGAATGAAGTATGTACTTTATCCATCCTCAGATTTGTTTAGAAAATAGAGGATTTTGAGTCTCGGACACCTTCAACAACACACATAGTCATTAATATCTCAGCGTCGTTTAAACTGACGGGGTTTTCTATTTATTTATGCGAGGTTGAGATTTTCTTAATTTTTATTTTGGAATAAATAAGTAAATAACATTCCACGTGCCTGATATATATAATATTTATGTTCCTTATGAATACCTGTTGAATTTCATTTAATGCATTTTTAGTATGATTTTCTTTTGCACCTGCATAGATGATATGCTGGAAATTTACCACACGGGTAAAACATCACATGTAGCTGTTAACATAGTCAAACTCATTAAATAAGTTATTAGCACAAGATTTGTGTGTTGTGCAACATTTTTTAAACCGACTGCATAAAATTTGAAATCTCAATTTTATTTAAAGAATAATGAGAGAATGGAATGGTTCAAACAGTTTAAGCAACCAAACAACTAATCAAAACTTCCTACACTTTCATGGATGAAGTTTATATTTATTTAGTTTGTTTTCATATTTTTCATCAGTATGTTTTTTCCCTTGAATCCCGGTCAATATAACTGGCCCTGAACCGCGAGAAAAAGATAGGGCTTAGTTCTGTAGCTGACACTCAGTGTAAAACCTTTTAAAATTTACACGACATAATTGGCTTAAACACAAAATTGACGCTTCCCACAAGCAAGATATAGTATGATTCAGGTAGAACGTTAACTGCATTTGCTTCTTTCTTTTCCAGTGTGGTTTGTTCTTAGTTTGTTCTTTTCCTAGGAATAAAGATGTTCTAAGTATTAACTTTCTTTTTGTTTGCTTCATTCTCCAGATCAGATACAATTGAATCTATTCTGTGTGGGTCGCTGTTTCCATCAGAGTTTTCAATCAATAATATGGTTAAACACTGGATTGACATTTTCTCTGGATTAGAAGAAGTGGAGGTCAAGGCTCTTGAAAAGATACTTGAGCAAAAACAAAGGTAAGCTTGGTTGACTTATGTGACTACTGATATTTTTTCTGCTGTATCAAATTTGCAGTTTTCATGATACCACTTTGATGGCAGGCTACAAGAGGAGCTGCAGAAGTATCTAGCTCTGAGGCAGAATAGTCAGGTATGTGACCTTGGAAGTTAAAATGCGGAGCATTCAAAAGAAATTTGATTTGGAAAAGGTATTGATCTCTTTGAAATGCAGGATAAAGAAAATCTGGAGGTCCAAAAGAAGATTGCGTTCTGTTTTCGAGTAATGTCCCGTTCATTTGCTAACCCAACAGAGGCGGAGGAGAGTTTCCAGATTCTTGATCAGTTAAATGACACTACTATCTGGAAAATTTTGACGAATCTTGTTGATCCCAATACTAGCTTTCATCAAACACGTATATACAAGGTAATATAATCTGAAACTAATATATATGTTTTTTTTTCTTTTTTTATAACTTTTTTATATACTGACTTGGGATATATTGTTACAAATTGCATGGAATTAGTCACTGAAGTGAAGATATGAGAACTGAATATTTGATGCTTATACCGTGTTCCTGTGGTCTACATTACTAAGCTTCAGAATTTGTTCTTAAATGTTTATGAATTTTGTGTCTAATGAGATCACACTAGCATCTATTTATAAAAAAACTGTACAGAATTTACAATAAAAGCGAATGAGCATCAAATCCTAAATTAGCTCTAATCTATCTATGATAGTGTTCAGCCAAGTACTGATCTATACAATAAATGTAGATTTGATTCTAACAGTTTCCAAAAACTTCACTCACATCTCTGGATCTGCTTTCCTGTTACTTACATGACTGTATTTAAAAGGCACCAATGAGATTTATTACAGAGATGTTAGCATGGTAATTCCGACAAATTATTTAAACCTTGGAGCCTATAAGGAGAGTAGTATTTGAACATACAAATTGTACAATCTTATTGTAATTTAGACTGACCTACTCGTATGTTTCTTTTCTGAAGGAATGAAAGAAACTTAATTTACAGATTGTTATTTACTGATGTTGGTTAATTTTTACTTTTTATTTGCAGGATGATTTGATTAAAATACTTGGTGAGAAACACCAGCTCAATGAATTTCTAAATACCTTATATGTAAAGTGCTCCTATTTTCTATTCAACAAGGAGCATGCAACAGCTGTTCTTTCAGAAATCATCAGATATAAATCTGCAAAGAATGATCAGCGTATGAAATCTTGCATGAATATGTTAGTGGTAAGATCATGTCATTTTAGGTGTATTAACCTACTGCCATCGGTTCTTGAACATTTGTATTGTATTATGCATTCTATGTCATGATTCTTGGACAATTTCTGTCATTTTAGGTGTAACAACAGTCACACCGTTACTGTGATTTACATTATTAAATTGAGAGTGAGGGGGGGGGGGGGGGGGGGGGGGGAATACCGCTTTTAGTTAAAGAGAAACTAATACCATGTCATGGACCTTATTCATAGTAATGTTATTCTGATAGGAGAAGGCCTGATAATGGTTTATCAATATCTTAAACACTGTCATGAATTAGAGTTCTTGTATTTTTCAGTGCCTTTTTCCATTTATTTCGTATGCCTGTGATTTAGATATGAGACCATGGACATTTACTGTCATTTTGGACATGGGTTTATTGTAATCACCTTTTCTAACTTCTAGTTTACTCATGATAATGTGCAGATAATTGCTCGTTTCTGTCCACACTTTTTTAACGGTAATGAGAAGGAACTGGTGAAGTTACTCAAGGATAATAATAATAATGATATGATCAGAGAGGGTATTTTGACTATTTTAGCAAAGGCTGGTGGTACTATTAGAGAACAACTATCAGTTACATCAAGGTGCCACTGTCGAAACTCATAAACTCTCTTAATTTCATTTCCTTTTATAATATTCTTATTATTTTCTTTTGTCATGCAGTTCTGTAGACCTTATGTTAGAAAGACTATGTTTAGAAGGCAGTCGGAGACAGGCAAAGTATGCTGTGCATGCTCTAGCTGCAATAACAAAGGACGATGGCCTCAAGTCTCTCTCTGTTCTATACAAGGTTTCACTTGATTTTTTATATGGATAGTTTTAATGGCATCCCGAGGTTACTGCTATTTACAGTTGCACCTTTCTTGTTTTCAAACTCACACTGACCTCTCTTGCTTTGTTATCTTTAATGGGATTTTACACATGGTTGGTACATTTAAGTAGGGGAGGTAGTGTAATTTCTTTAAATAAGGGTATCAAACCGTAACAACAGTGCATATAATGAGGGAGGTAAATGTAACTTTCAAAACAAGAAAGTTGTAATTAGCCCTTATCTCTAGTGAAACAAGTGTAATTTTCCAAGTATTGTAATATAATATGCGCTAGAATGTTTTATTCTGATTGTTTTCACCTTATACGCAGAGGCTTGTAGATATGCTGGAGGAGAAAACACATCTTCCCACAGTTTTGCAGTCGTTGGGTTGTATAGCACAGACTGCAATGCCTGTATTTGAAACTAGAGAGAGTGAAATTGAAGAATTTATAATCAACAAGATTCTGAAAAGTGATAGTGTAAGCCTTTTAATTCCTTAGAATTTAATTCTTCTTTATGGGATAAGTGTCAAAGTAATCAATTTCTATTTAAATGCTTATTTTATGGTTTCAGAAAGATGATCACACAAAAGCTTCTTGGGATGATAAAAGTGATATCTGTGTGTTGAAGGTAGGTAGGAAGATAGTCTATTCTAATTTTTCTTACTTTAGATAGTGTCTGCAATCTGTAATTTGATACAAATGTTATCTTATTGGATAATGATTGTAAGCTAGCTGCTCTTTGACAGTTTGTATTATTCTCTCTTCGTATCTCTTTATTCTATTTCCTTGCCGCAGATATATGGTATCAAAACGGTAGTAAAAAGCTACTTGCCGATCAAAGGTGCTCTTGTTCGTCCTGGTATTGATGGTCTCTTGGATATCCTACGAAACATACTTTCTTATGGTGAAGTATCAAAGGACATAAAGTCAAGGTATAATAGCTTTACAAGCTATATTTTTGTAATTCATTTCTATCTGATAATTTCAAATTGGTTTTCTAGGGTTCAAATATTATATACTCATTTATGCCCTCTTGCAGTTCAGTCGATAAGGCCCATCTGAGGCTTGCTTCTGCAAAGGCAGTTCTTCGATTGGCAAGGCTTTGGGATCATAAGATTCCTGCTGATATTTTTCACTTAACTTTGAGGGCATCAGAGGTAGGTCTCCCTTCTATTTACTGAATTTCTTCTTGAGCATTTTTTTTTTTAAAATTTGTTCATCACATTATTAAGAAGTTTCAGCTATTGAGAAATATGGAATATTGTTTATAACTAGGTGATGCACTTATGGGTTAAAACTTGGATATGTCGTATGGCCTATAATTTGAGGGATTTCTTTGCAGAATAGAGTACAGTTAAGTGAGTCTAATTTCGTAGTTGATCCATGTCATAGCGATTCAGCAAAGTTTTATGTTGGCTGTCGATTGCCTAACACAACCCTCTCCTTTTATCCCGGGCTTGGGACCGGCTACGCATAGCAAAGCTAACATGGGCAGGATTAGTTAAGTCAGTCTATTTCCAGAAATATAATCTGATAGAAGAATGCTACCGAAGGCCAATCCAAGTGAAGGAGATGCGTTAGTGGGGGGAGATTGCTAGGCCCAAGTTTTGGAGAGTGTATGACAGAAAGAAGAAGAGAGAAATTAATAGAGTAACAACTTTCCTGTTTGTTTGAATATTCTCCTAATAAGATGGGATAGGGGGGAGGAAAGGTGGATCAAGTCATTTGCATTCTTACCTTTTTGGTCAGGCTGTTGGAGAATTGTTTTCTCCGCTGAGGAGCTTCTAGCTCTGGAACCCTCTTGTCTTCAGCTTTAACCATCTTATATTAATCAAATAACTTTTTCATCCAAAATGTTATGTTCAATTTTCAATTTTTTTTGAAAACCCGGTATCCGGCCCTAGGACCGACTAATCGGAGGAGGAATCCTACCGTCCACTAACGGAGGGGGCCATCTGAAGCCAAAGCAACATTCTGTATGGACTGACCCAACACAAATTGTTTGCACCTAGTGGGATTCGAACTTGAGACCTTGAAATGAGCACAATCTTAGGTCCCAGGCTTTCACTAATTGTCCAACCCCTTGGGGTTAACTGTTATGTTCGATTGTATGTGGGATGTATATATAAGTCTTCCCATAAGACATTGAACTGTCTATCGGATATCTTACTTAATTCATTAGTCTCAAATTTAGATCCATTGGGGTATTTTCTGGTTTGTATGTTATTGCACTCGTTTCTTTGAAGAGATGTATGATACACTTGGGGTTTCTATGTTGACTAGTGACTTGTGATGTGAGCAAAATAGTCCTTGCAAGGCTGAATCCGAGTCCTTAAAAGGAGGTCCAGGCTCAGGGACATCCATCTTCCTCCTAATATTTCTTTCGATTTTTCAAGTAGAAGGTCGACTCTTAGGCATGGGAAGTGATTTTGTAGAGACAAATGAAGCATAAAACATCATCGTCCTCTCTTGTTGAATTCAACCCTTGAGATAGGGTTGGTGAAATATAACTCCTCTTCAATGTACTACCCCTGTAAAAAAAGAAATATCTGGACAAAGGGCAGTAAGCCAATAAGTAATCGCACTTGTATCCTTTTTGGGTCAAAGGATAGCTCATAACAACACATTTGATAACCACCGGATATGGTCTCTAACTGTTTTGAGTGTGACCATGGAAAAATGACACCTAATAATCTTAGGAACAATGTTACTTGTATTGTAGTGTGTAGATCAGGGTAGAAAGTGGAGAGTATGCCCATTGGATTCTTGTACCCCAAGACTCTATTAGATAAACAAGTTATGTGTATAGGGTGAAATTGATTTGTTGATGTTTTCGTTCCAGTGTAGAAATAACTACTTTTCTTGTCTTATATTTGGTTTGATAGATTGGCTTCCCTCAAGCTAAGAAGGTTTTCTTATGCAAAGTTCATCAATATATAAAAGACCGCCTTTTGGAAGCCAAATATGCATGTGCCTTTATATTGAACATATTCGGAACCAACCCAAATGAGTTTACAGAGGTAATGTTTTGATTGGTTTAATCCTTTTGCTGTTGAAAATTTCCTCGTATTGACATCAATTATGTCATTGTTAATGAATTGTGTTTGTTATTGTAGGATAAGCAGAACTTATCTGATATTATTCACATGCATCACCAAGAAAGGGAAGGACAGCTTTCAGGGAAATCAGATGCAAATTCCTTAACCACTTACCCTGAGTACATTCTTCCTTACCTAGTTCATGTACTTGCTAACCTATCTTGCCCCAATATTGATGAATGCAAAGATGCTGAAGCATACAATACTATATATAGGTATTACTTTACATTTTTACTTATATAGAACATCTCTTTAAGTGGAAGGAGTGTTTTCTAGTAATACATTTAATGCCTTATCCATGTTTGTATGTGTATTTGAAAGATATAGCCAGCCACTTGCTGATTTATTAACAAAATGGTTTAACTTTGTGTTCCTGACATCCAGTTTATGGAAGCTTATGCAGAGTCTTAGTTTGGAATAATTGATAACTTAGAATTCTAAATAGTATGTGCAGTAACTAAAAGTCTATTCTTGGAAGGGTCCCATATCAAATGAGTAGAGCATTTGCCCTGCTGCTCCAATGCAGTTAGGGTCTGTACGCATAATTTTTTGTTTGGCCGGAACACCTAATTTCATCTATTTTACTGATTTTTGTACTACGCAAACTATGTTTTTTTAATATGAATATGGAATGCATCTTGGGCTGAAATCTATAGATTTTACTTTTGCCAGTGAGCTTTTAAAATGCATATGTTTAAAATGTTCATTGTTGCAAAATTCTTATTCTATCCTCTTCACTTTGCAGGCAGTTGCACTTGATACTATCAATGCTAGTGCAACGAGATGAAGATGTCAACTCGAAAGTAACTTCTGACAACGAGAAAGAAATTTTATCTGCGATTACTTCTATCTTCCAGAGTATTAAACACTCGGAAGATGTGGTTGATCCATCAAAGTCAAAGGTTTGGGATTTTTTTTTGAAAAATTAAAAAAATGCAAATTTATAGGTGATGAGAACTGTAATCTTACGATTGTGATCAATGAATGACCAGAATTCTCATGCCATATGTGACCTTGGATTAGCAATCACCAAGCGCCTAGTACAGAAAGATGTTTATATGCAAGGATTGTCTCATTTAGTTTCTTTACCGACCATACTATACAAAGCACAGGAGAAGGAAAATGATCTTATGGTATCTTCTCTCCTCTTGTCAAATTGTAGTTTTCTTTTGGTATGCTAAATTTTCAAGTGTTCTTCACATGCTAGACAAAACGACTTACAAATAGTTGCTACTTGATGATATTTATTATTAAATGAGGTTGATTTGTTGCATTGTCGTGATTGCATCACTTTTAATGACATTAGTATTTAATCCATTAAGCCATTTTAAATGTCCATGTTTCAAGTTGTAGATTTTATTGTTACTCTGATATTTTTAATTGATTGAACTGATGGTGAAGAACTCATAGGCAGACTTGTATAATCTAGTTACAGGAAGACACTTCCTTGTTATTAAATAGTGATGGCATATTCTTAATGTTTGATAAAATGTTATTAGGGGTTTTTCAGTTAAGGTTTACAGAACATGGAGCTGAGATGGATTTGTAGTCATATTCTTGTAGTCATATTCTTGATAGAGTTTTAGCATTTTTATGATACTGGATTATGTTAACGATAAAATACTTGATGCCTTTTATTTTGTATGGCAGGCAAGCAAAGTGAAAACCTGGTTGGGGGATGAAAGTGTTTTGGCTTATTTTGAATCAGTTCAATTAAAAATGGTAAATATCAATAGTAACTTCTAGTGAATCTTTTATCTTGAATCATGTGATAATGTTTCTCTTGTATCAGGTTCCATCTCAATCAGCTGAAGATCATGCTTTAAAGGAAGATGAAAAAGACAGAAATGAAATGTCCCTTGGAAAAATAGTAAAGAATATAAGATCTCAGGGAACCAAGGGGAAGAAGGTGAAAAAGGATAAAACCACGACATCTGAAACAAAAAAAGCCGAAGATGATTTTGATATCTTAAATATGGTCAGAGAAATTAATTTAGATAACTTGGAGACATCTAATAATTTCGAATCAAGTAATGGTCATGAAAGTTCTTTGAGTAAGAAGGTGCAGAAAGATCTTGAGTTTGGAGCAATGAAAAAACGAAAAGTGGGAGAAGAAACACTTGTTCCAGTGCCTAAACGAAGGCGGTCTTCCATTACCCATAGAAAATCACGATCGGGTAGTTCTTCAAAAGCTTCTCAAAAAGTTTCAGAGGAAGTTCCTTCTGGAGTGAAATTACTGTTAGATGCAGTAATTAATCCCGATACAGGTAGCAAAAATATGCAGAGAAAATTGATCAAAGGCAAAGAGCCCTCGTCAGAACCAACCATTAAGGCCTCCCAGAGTTATCATATTGATGAATCTGACAAATCTGAAGAACGTGACGTAAAGGTGGAGTCTCACTGTCTAAACTGATTTATTCTAATGTTAGGATCTTAAAGTGGACTTTAACAAATGTTGTAGACTTCGGCTTATTTTCTGCATCTGTTGCAGAGTCCTGGTAAATTGAAGACAACTAATAAGACGGAAAGTGAAATTTTCAAAACGTCTGTAGTCTCTACTAAAAAGCGGAAAAGAAGTATTGGAGGATTAGCTAAGGTAACTACTCCCTTTTGCTTATGCAGTTAATTTTTTTGTTGTTTTCATGTCAGTATCGCCTCTATGCATGTTATAACTTATAATGTATATTTTCTAGCAAGTCTCTGGGATAGTATCCGTAGCTTGACTTATTCTTTCTTTTTTCTGTAGTGTACAACAAAGAAAGACCAAAGTAATGCTGGAGATCTGATCGGCTGCAGAATTAAAGTTTGGTGGCCTTTGGATAAAACGTAAGTGCTTATCATTAAGAGAGATCCGCTTTAGAAGCAAAACAGTAAATGGATTCCACTAACTTTATATAAAGGACAAACAATAAAAATAATGTTTTTCAGTGATTTCGGAAGCTTTTTTACTTCATTTCCTAAAGACAGTTTTGTTTGCTTGTTTGAACTTCACCTGCTTGTTTTTGGCAGGTAGAATTACTGAGATTTTTTTTTTTTGTCAAGTAGCCTAGTGGCTGGAGTTCACCCTTTAAAGGTGAACAAGTGGGATGTCGTGGGTTCGAATCCGCGCCTCTACCTTTAATGTCCCTGCACAGTTACCAAATGAGCTGACTTAACGGGACGAATTACTGGGATTTTAACTGCCAGTTTTCTTTAAGACATTTCTAGTAGTTTGTTTTTGTTAAGAGTCCCACATCGGACAATCCTCATCCTACCAGCCGGTTTGATAGGGTTGAGTTTTGCCCAGCCACACATTCTTAAGATGATATTAGTGTCACGTTTAAGATCCATTGGGCCACCCACTATTTAGTTCCATGCTCCAGACCCAAATCTTGGGCGTGAGAGAGGGTGTTAAGAGTCCCACATCGGACAATCTATGGCCTGAACATGTGTTTATAAGTGGGGGCAATCCTCACCTTACCAGCCGGTTTGGTACGGTTGAGTTAGGTCCAGCCACACATTCTCGAGTTTTGATTTCACGTTTTTTTTAGTTTGCATTTCTCTTAAGTTCTTCAGGCTGCATCCATTCTCATTAACCAATTTTAATTTCTGACTGGTACTGGTTTAATTATTAGTCACCTTCTAGCCTTATTCAACATTTAAATGCTAGAAACAAATTTCTGAAGCCCTCAGTTCTGTTGTTTTTCTAGGATTTATAATTCAAGTTCTCATTATGGTATATTGATGTTCTGTAGATTTTACGAAGGGACCGTTGAGTCTTATGATCCTTCAAAGAGGAAGCATGTGGTAAGCTCGCTCTCTTGTTCCAAAGTTATTCTGCCATCTAAGTGATACAATTCTGACACAATGTTACTCTTCCTTGCTGTGTCGAAGATATTATATGATGATGGAGAAGTAGAAAAACTCTATATGGAAAAGGAACGTTGGGAGCTTATCAACGAGGGCCACAAATCTACTAAGGTCTGATTTTCTCAGTCATCTTTCTCTGTAGCAGTTTAACTGTTCTGTTTTTCCCATCTCCACTAAAAGATATTAATTATCATTGAAGTTTGACTCCTTTTTTATATTATAATTTTCCAGAAGCTAAAGCCCTCAAAAACTCAACCTTTAAATGAAGTGTAAGTATTCCATCTGTGAATCAGTTGTAGGGTAGTTTCATATGCTTGGAAAAGTTGAATGCATGTTCATCTGCTTTATTTACGACTTGAATTTTATTTCTATTAGCTTCACTGGCCATGATCTTTAACCACTCTGAGTTGCTTTCTTCCTTTTGTATGCTGATTTTCTTGATTGTTTATAGTTCTACTGGAAAGAAACAGAGAAGTTCAAGTGGTTCAGCAAATAAAAAGACAACAAAAATGTTAGTAGAAAAAATGAGATTCTTTTGTACATTGGTTTGTTCAATGTTCTATCATTATATTATAACTTGTATTGTATCATTTGATTTTTAGTGTAAATGGTAAACAATCTCCTATCAAGTATGCAAAGCATGGACTCAAAAAAGCATCAAAAACTAATTTCCATGAAGGTGTTAATGAGAGTTCTGAGCTATCAAACCCTGAAGAGACGACAATATCTGAACCTGAGACCTACTCAGGTAATGTAACTTAAGAGATATTTGAATCTGATGCATATATCAATTATTATTTACACTTCGATTGATTACATGTGATAGTATTGTGTGCATCCTGCAATCTTCGCACCAGATTAATGCTTCCAAGTCTGCATAGAACTTGTAGTTGGTTTTTATGGTTTCAATTACTTATTTCTAGTTTAGATGAATAAGCTCGTCCTCAAGTGAAAAAATTCTTATCTATTTTGCATGGAAAGGATCACGATTTTTACTTTTCTGGATTCCCCCTTTATATGACTTTAAGACTACTAAGCTTTAGTTAAATTTTATTGTGAAATAAAAAAAAACTGAGATAAAACTTAAATACTGCTCTATTCATCCCATAACAGGTTTATGTCTCAAGGCTTGCTAATTGTTTGATTCCGTAATATAGGTCCTACCTATAATATTGTTTCTGCATCTATCTTTGGATATCTACTGCAAGCATGCTTACTATTAACCGATGCATGCATGTTTATTTGTGTTTTCAAAACTTAGACATGTGTTTGCTGGAACATTGTTGTCTTGCAGACATACAGAAAATATTCATATCCATTCAGATAAGCAGATCATTTGTATGTCATAATTCAAATATCACCCATGATCCAAGTTCCCTCAAATGATATCAGCAATGTTATTTGAGTTAGTAATCTATAAATTACACCAATGTAGTGGAATTGAGAAAGCTCACAGATAATTGACCGGGACGCCTATTGTACCTTCTGGATAAGAACGGCTTTAGTCCCATTAGGGTAGAGCCCAATCATGCAAGTATAACCCTCTATCACTGTAATGCATGACAAATGCCCACCTCTTATTCGCAATACCCATATAAGACTTTGATCAATACAGTAATGTTTATATTTCAAAGTAGCTAATTATTGAAAACACGTGTTAATGAATAAGAAGAGAGGAGCTTGGAAGTTGGAAGTTACCAAAATCTTCTAATTATTATGCAGCAAAGTGGGACATGTATTTCACTTGTGATTCTGGTATCAAATCTAATACAGGTAGAGTTAGGTATGATGTCAATCTATCGAATTAGTATTGATCATGGTTATTGAGAAGTATTGCTTTCTTGAAATGGTTTAACCTTTGCCAATTTGCTCTTGAAATGTGAAATATTATGCCTTGCATTTCACTAGTTATGATGATTGGTTATAGTGACCTTTTTTGTGGTTCCTCATTATAATATATAATTTCTACTTCGTTAGTTTGTTTTGTTCTACTTTTTTCCCTTCAATTTTGTTCTATTTTCTGTTTTAGGTGGCTCTGAAGGAGAACAAGATGAAGGGTCTGGTGTTATCATAGTCAAGAAGAAGAAAGTTAACAAGAAAGTAAAATTAGGTTCCCGTGGAAAGAGACCTAAGAAAAAGAAGAGCTTGAGTAATATGAAAGAATTCAATGAAGAGAAGCAGGAACCAGATGAAGAGAAGCAGGATGACGCTGAGAGAATTTCTGGCAATAGAGAGAGTTACCCACAAGGAGCTCAAAATGATGAGGAAAGTAGTTCAAATGAAAGAGAGGCCGGTGAATCAAGAGGAGCTTCGAGAGAAAATGTTAATGAAGAAGAATCAGATCCTGAAGGCAACCTGAACGAGAGTGATGGGGAAAGTAGTCCTAGTAGAGAAGAAGTGCAAACACCGCCTAATGATCAAACAAGTCCTGACAGTGCCAGATTTGCCGAGCTTCCCGATGATGAGCCACTGGTAAATAACTCATCCTCTGCATAATTCCAATACCTATTTTTTATTTGCTTGTTCTTGAAACAAATTTAATACATTTTATAAGCTTATCAGTAACCAATGAAAATGGTTGATGCAGATCAAATGGAAACTCCCCTCAGTGAAGAAAAGGTTATCAGGGAAAAAACAATGAGCAATTTGGCTGCTTCTGTAACATACAATCTCTGAAACACTTGAGTAGCAGTGGTGTTGTGGAAGCATTTAATCTGTATCAGTACAAGAGAGTATAGTATGAATGGTGAATACCATTTATTGACACATTAATAGATGTACTTTGCATGTCTTGTATTGTAGCCACCCTTGTGTAGAGATGTAACATTCCCATATTTTGGAGGAAAAAAAGTGACGGTGCACTAGGATTTTTAGGTTTATGTTATGCAAAATGACCTTTCATTAGTGTAGGTGATCATAGGTTTAGCATATGATTCATGTGGATGTTGTTCATCCTTCCAACATAATCAATTGACTTAATCAACATGTACAGCTATACGTGGTGATAAATTGTATTTGTATCTTTATTTTATCATTACTATTCTTCATACTTTTGTAGTCAACTGTGTGAAAGATGACCTCACCATCATTTCCTCCATGTTATGTTTAAATATGATTTTGACAACTTAATACTCCTATTTTATTGAGTAAAGTACACTATTTAATTATTTGACGCCACATTACTTTTTATGTTTAATTAGATTTTAATCAATAAATTTAATTGATATATACTGGATAGACTATGTTTTATTTATGTTTATTCAAATGAAGATGTTGATTTATAAACGTTATGTATCCTGTTATATGTCGAGATTTAAATCATACAATCGATATGTAAAAATTGGCATAAATTTAAATTGTTCAAAAATGACATAAATAAAGTTGAAATACACGATAAAGTAACATAAAGTGAAAATAAAATACAATCTATAACGAATTCAAAGTATAAGTATTATATACTACTGCACTACTGCGTATGTCGAACTATATCTCTGTTGACTTCTCTGGCATCTCTGACTCATCAGACTCCTCGGCCTTTAATACCCCTGTCGTTATGATAGTATATAGGGTCTGCCTCACCTCAGATCCATCAAGAAAGATACCTCTATCAATGCCTGCCCACGCAATCTCTACTATGTGACAACATCTAGGCAAGATATTATGAGTATGATTTAACTGTGCCTATTTTCCCTTTAATTTCTCCTGATGAATTGACATCGATGGATCTCTTCGAGCACCCTGCACCATATACATATGTGACACCCTAAAGAACCACCTGATGTACCCGTTGACGTAGCTCCAGTCGCTCTCAGCTATGGTACTCTGTGCCTTCTTCAGTACTAGATGACTCTCATAATCATCAAACATGGCATCAATCTCTCTACGTGTCAGAGCAGAAAGAGCAGAGACAACAAAGTGTCTAGAAATGGTTTGAGTGTAGTCAAACTTCCGCATCACGCGCTCGGGCAGATGAGGAGTAGTGAAATGTGATCCACAAGCCAACCATCCCAGGTATAGCAGCATGTCATCAAATGGTCGCGTCTCACGGTGATCAACATAACTGTTGAAATGCATGTCCTTTGCAACCAAGCGGTTAAGATACACTCTGAACGACTCTATAGCCTGGTTCTCTATGAGTGAGACAAATGCAGAAGCACAAACATATCCTAAGTGTAAGTCGGTACACCTATCCATGGTTGTCAAACTTGCGAGTCTACTCAAACTCCTTAAGGGTTTGTAGACTCGACTCACAAACTCGTACAAGTCTATGGAAAATTTAAAACAACTTTCAAAAACCTATAAGTGACACATATATAACACTCGTATGTTTTTATACTTATAATTGTCTCATTTACGACATAAATATATAATACAACACCTATTATCATGAAAATTTAAATTTCATACTCCATAACAAATTTCCTAACAAAAAAATCGATAATAAAACAAACAAAAATGCAAATTATATAGTTAAAGACTTAAATTACTAATTTCATCTTAGTTGGCTACTACATCAATAAAAAAAATCATAAAATAGATATGCTAATAACTTAAAACATCAAAAGCTCTAGTGAAATCACCACCACCAATAAAATCATCATAATCTTTATAGGTATCTTGAGTATCATCATCAAACTCTACCTCAGGTGAAACACCTTATTCATCATTAATCAATGTTGGATTGATTGAAGTTCCACTTACACCTAATTTAACATTGCCACCACCACCACCACTCACATGCAAATTGATACATGCGCATTGGGATCATTGGACCAGATTGGACAATAGTGTATCACCTCTATATAAGATATCATACATGAGAAGCATCCAAGTGAAACATATAAGAAAATACTTACACGCAAAGAATTGATTTACGACCACAGACACGAACAAAGTAAGAGACAGAATAAACTCACGTCGTTGATGAAGGGGGGAAGAAACTTTGTTGAAACAAGAGACTAGGTGAGAGAGACTTTTTTATTCTCGTACAAGCAAAAAAAAAAATAAAGGTTTTTTATAAAAAATAAATAAAATCTTTTGGGGAATTTAGGAATTTTTTGGTCCTAAAAAATTTATAGACTCATAAACTCGTTATAGACTCGCGAGTCTATACGAGTTTGTGCAAGTCTATACGAGTTTGTGCGAGTCTATCCGAGTCTATCAAAAAACGATTTTATGTCTAAGCCTACTCGTTTGTACTTCCTATACTCGTAAACTCGTACGAGTTCACAAGTTTACCTGCGAGTTTGACAACCATGCACCCACCATGTCAAAGATGCGCGGAAAGTGCTGTAGGATCCAAGCCTGAATATTGTTGAAAGACAAAAATCATCAGTAATGGTGTTACAAAGATGAAATGAAAATAACACAGAATCATTAAAAGACCAATAAATATTACCGTCAGTAGTGTGATGCTGCTTGTGACCTGCTTCGTCTTTCACCTACAACCCTCTGATAACTTCGAGTATAATTAGACCAAACAAACGAATCCTATTTTGTACTCATGAATCTGCACGAAGAACCGTAGGTAGACAACATATGTATAAGCGACACTCTTGTCCATAAAAATTGCAATTCTAACCAAATATAGCAGGTATACTCTCATAACATATGCTCTATGAAGCCCCACCTGTTCGTCATCACCTCTATCCTGCTCTGCTCTAAAGAACTCATATGTATATACCTTTTTCAGGAACTCAAACCCAACATGAGCTCCTCTGGTGTTTTCCATCTCCATCATCGCATCCTCTGGGTTAACTCCCAAGTAGTCTACCATCAACTCAAGTTCCTTGTATTTGATAATCCTCCCATGATCTAGAAGCTTCCCTCTGATCGGAAGATGCAGCAAACACGATACTTCATCGAGTGTGATAGACGTCTCACCAAGCGGGAGATAAAATGATGAGGTATCAGTGTGCCACCTCTCCACGAATTAAGAATAACGTGGTTGACCGTAATATAACCGGTCATGCACAAGTCCTTCATCACAGATAGGGATAAAGCTACCTGAAACCACTCCTCATTCGACTGAGGCAAGCCAATAATCTTTTGCCCGTGGTTAATAATCTTTAGCAGATCATGATTCTACAGAAAAATAAGTCATAAATTTGTAATATAATAATAAACGTAAATTAGAAATAATGATTGTAACTAATGTTACCTCTCCGTCACATATATGTATCACAGTATGGTCTGGGTACAATGGCAGTAACGACAAGTCTACAGGACCTCCTCCAAATGATTGATGTGGATCATTATACTCAACAACCTCACCAACTGGAGGTGGTTCATCATACTTAACAACCTCACCATTCGGAGGTGGAACTGACTCAACAACCTCATCAGCCAAAGGTGGCACTGTCTTAGAAGCATCATCAGTCAGAGGTGGCACTGGTGCCTCAGGTTCCACCGATGACTCGGGTACCGTCTTCTACGGGAAAAAGAAGACGGAGAAGCATGAGCCCCATAAGTAGATGTCTCTGCATGGCTAGAGTGAACAGGAGCCTCTAAAACCGGACTCTTCTCCCGCCGCACTGATGCATGTTGTGCAATCCTCTTGTGCCTCAGTCTATCGTGTCTATCAGTCATAATTTCTGTAAGTAAACAAGACAATTAATATAAACAACACTACAAGAAAATAAAAAAAAGACTAAGAATTTTCATAGATGCATCTCCGGTTACTGGAACACTAAACATTGAAAAATTTCAGAGATGCATCTCCAGAATTCTTTACAACTCTTTGAGACCTTCAATGGTGGCAATGCATACATGCAAACCCCAAAAATAATGGTTTGATCGTGATTTTCAACCAACATACATGTTTTACAGTATGTATAAACTCCCGTTCTTGCAATTCCTACTCATTTCTATCCTAAATCATCATTTTCTACTCATTTACACAAAAACTTAAAAAAACTTATCAAAACATCAAAAATTTACAAATTTAGACCTTGCTTTAATGTTGGATGATGTCTCTGATGTTCTTGGTGTTGATTAAAGATGCTTTGAGCCTGGTTGATGGAAATTTTTTTGAGAGAGTTTGAGAAAGTTTTGATTTTTTTTAGAAATGAGGAAGGAGAAGGGTTCTGGCGTAATTTAAGCTCCAACATACCTTCCGGAGATGCATCTCCAAAATATGTTTGAAGATGCATCTCCAAAGTATTTTATTGTTAAGTCAGAATTCTATATACTCAGGGGTGTCCGGAGATGCATCTCTAGAATCTGGGGTCATTTTAGTATGTTCACGCGGTATCTAAGTAATATATAGTATGCATTAAGAAATTCCCCTCAACTTTCCTCAAGAACAAAAGTTTCACCGACTTCTACTCCTTTTCATTCAAACAAAACACATTCATCTCTAACATTTGAAAAGTTTCTCACATTTTTTCTTTTTCTGATTTTTTATGCAAACAACTCATATATAGTTTAATAGATTTACATGAAGTTACATCCAATAGAAATGCAATTCCTACTTATATTTGGTATGAATTTTGGGTATTTGAGGGTTAATGTTTATGTTTGGTTTGCTCTCTGCTCTCTACGTGTAATCCAAATTTCAAAATATGGACCCTCAGTACAGATAACAAAATTCAAATTTCTTTGTTTGCCATTATGTTTATTTATTTATTTTGTTTGATTATA